CCCCCCCCCCCCCCATTCTCTTGTTTGTTAAAATTTGTCTACCTTGCATGTATGTCCGTTTCTTCCGCGCCCTAACGTTTTTCGTGCTCAAGGAGGACGGAACGGGTGGATCGAACGGCGCTTGCATGCGCATGTCGCCGGAGAAGGACTGGGGAGCCAACGCGGGGCTCGATGTCGCCAGGGATTTCGTCTCAGGTGTGTGTGTGTGTGTGTGTGTGTGCCGGTTCTCCGATTCTTGACCCTGCAGGCGAATTCGGGCCTTGGGTGCTTGCAATGACGTGCGCGTGATAGTCGTGCTGAGTTGTTGCTTGCTTTCGTCGCCGTTCTTTGTCTTGATGGGGTTCCGGTGGTTGTGCCAGTTGTCGTGGCATCGGAACGTGCGTTCACCTCTGTGTTCTATGTATCGTATCGTACAGTATTACCATTCCGTGCCGACTCCCAACGCGGGCGGGTGAGTCCCATTCGTGGTCGACAGAATCCATCCCCAACGAAGACACCATCATTGGAAGCGCCGTCCATCCTTTCATGTTGTCTGAATTTTCGGAGGGGACTGCGACTATTGCCGCTCTCTCGTGCAGCACGCGCCGCCACGATTGATAATGTGGGACGGAGATGAGGAATTCAGGCTCAGAAAGAGACAAATTTGAGAAGTTGAGCGTAAGAAAACGTGTGCTCAGTCAAAAATCCTATAGAAATCTATTGTTATAGTAAGTAGTCGCTGTTGTGCCATTTCTCGCCGCTGTTGCTCGCGAATGTTGCCAAGTCGACGCCGGTGGGCTTTTTTTTCCGCATTTCGCATTTCGCATTTACGGGTTGGAGCCGATTGACGCAGTTGGAAACGAAGTGCGAATATCCCCTCCCCCCTTGTTTAAGGCATGTAATAGAGAGGAAAGGACGGTAGCTGTACTGGGGCATTGGGAGGTGGGTTAAAAAGGCGGGAAGGGGTATCGTTAGGATAGACAGACTAGGGAAGACATTCGTGAGCCACCTTTGGCAAAGTAGAAAGGAACGATTGGCCATCGGTGATCGGTCCTGTGGGAACAATGCTCAGTCCTCTCGAGGACGCGTGGTCAATGGTCTAA